TTCAGGAAAGGATCTTCAACAATTTGGCGATTATTTTACACTCGTTTGATTGGGCAAAAGGAGCCCGATCGTCTAAGGGCAAAAGAAGGCAAAAAGACTATCAACTATTAATAGTCCTGACACATCAAAAGGACTGGAGTCTCCTAACGAGCCGGAGACTTCTGTCGCGTCAACGTTTAACTACATAAACCTCCCCGTAATCAAGGCACTTCATAATCATCATCCTAATCACGCTGACCGCACAGTGACCTCGTCATTGTGCACGTCGGCCGAGATGTCCGAGCTTGAACTTGACCATCGTGATACTGCGCTTAGGATAATATGAGGAATGCATGCAGGCATAAATACACGCGCTGTAACAAGAAAAGCAACAATTTCGACGTTGATAAACTCTCCGATCAATAATTGAAAAAAGTCCACGTCGGTTCAAATAGTACATGGAAAGCCAATCACTTGCTTCAAAAGTCGTACTATGCGAGCTCATGAAATGCCCACGTTGCTGTTAAGCAACCGTCAGTTAGGGAGCGGTAAATCGTTAGATACTTACTTCCATCCGTGATAACCTCTATTAGTTGCTGTCAGAGTTGCTTTCAGATAGAATTTCAGATGAGATAATTACTAGTTGAAGCAGCTTCATTGGCTAAAATATATCTGAAATTTAGATAGCGATACCATAGCTTTTGGACTTTAGCTGGCTTTCTGAAAAGGTGTGTGGACCACTTATTTGCAAAGTACTTCTGGAGATCAGAACTGAATGGGGTTGTCAGAGATAACGATCAGTCATTGGTTAATTTTATGTTCTGAAAAACCTTCTGAACATTAACTCTGACAACCACTATTGTATCCTCGGACTATCGTCCGCATAGTACGACTTTTGAAGCAAGTGACGGTTTTCCATGTACTATTTGAACCGATGTGCTTTTTATACAATTATTTGGTGCAATTCCCTCGCTCAAACTGTTCGAGTCGAATGCATTCCATGTGCGGACCCAATCTTCGTGTACGTAAACAAAGTTGTCGGTATCGCAACCTTCAAGAATCACGCCGGCTCTTTCCTTTGTGTAACTATGCAGTCTACTTATCTGCAGTCCACACCAATGGTTGATGCCGCCGCAGAACACGCAACAAGACTCAGTTCGCATCTTACTTCCAATTGCGCAAGACTCCATACCAAGCTTGAATCACTCCAAGTTCAAGTATGCACCAGTACAATTTTTTGTTCGCGTATATAGTGGCTGTTGTTCTAGTTTTCATCGCAGGTGCAAACGCCAATTCGTTTTCGCCAGCCTCAGTTGACGTAGTCCAAGCTGAGGCTGCCAAGCAGAACTCGTTTCTTCGAGCAATCCACACAACTGAGGGTAACGACAAGCACGATGACGACGAAGAGCGACTCCTGAGCTACATTGCTCAATTTATTCCTGGGACTGCGACCCGTCAATTTAAAAAAGAAACCGATAACATATTGGCTAGTTTGGAGAAGTTGACGTTAGACATGATGTACAGCAAGATGATGTCGGAGACAAATTTCAGAAACCAGATGTTTGCGGAGTGGCGTAAAGAGAAAAAATCGTATCGCAAGATCACAAAACGTTTGAAGGCGCAAGGCAGAACGGATGTCCATTACACTAACCTCGCGAACCAATTCCGTTCGTATCTGGAATCTGTTGGAGATAAAAAGCTTGCAGGGGTTAAGAAACTGAGGAAAGTTGATAGGGTGGAGTGAAACGAAGCGGTGTTCAAAAAAAATCGTGGACCTATATACTGTCGTTTCTATCGTACTCATTTTCATCATCAATGCCGGGTCCCGTATTCCCGTAAATATGACCTCGTTGGTAAGCTGGTCTCAATTAAGGGGCACGAACATAATGGTCTCCAGTTCATCTGCGCTCGCTCATATGCTTCCTTTGACAACCGAACAGTGGAAAAGAGTCGAGGAGCCGAAATATATAAATTTGCTTAGAACGTCACTTACATGTATATATAAGAAAAAAGGGCTATTTCACAGCACAATATTAAACTGTAAACGCTTGCACAGCTAGCAACTGCGCTATGAAACCGTCCATTGTCCATTGTCGTGTTTGTTGAGGCTCCTCGTTATATTAACACCACGTGTCTGCTTGGTGAAGTAGACGCATGGCGTTAACATGAATAAGTTTACGTTGTGTGAAGCCAAAAGGTCCATGGGCCAATACGCCAGGATCCTTCCTAATATGACGGCGAGCTTCTCTCCTTCAAGCCCTTATAAAATCGACATCGCTGCAGTAGTTGTACTAGACCACCGACAACTCAATATTGTCAGTTACAACCGTGAATGTGAAACTCGTGTTGATGTCAAGGTTGATACTAGCTCCTTGACAACCGTGTAGCTACACTATGAGTCCGAGAAATAATTGTCAAACGACCTATCGGATCCCCAACGCTATGATTCAAGCTTGTTAGTCAAGTTCCGACATCTCCTATTCATGCTGTTTGACGAAGGCACTGGCAATTGGCCGGCTCATCGTCTCCACAGTGTCATGAACTCCGATCTGGACTTTGTCAGCGATATGATTGTAAATATGGAAGTGATGTCCGGAAAGGGGCTTTTGTGTTATTCAGGACAATGGAAACAATGAGAACGAATTCCCTTCTAACCTTTATTTCGCACCCCATGAGTTCGAATGTGCTCACAGCTCGTGAATAGCTAGCTTCAGTAAACAGACTCACAATTTCATATCAGTATTGCAATTTTTGTCAAGAGTACTGTAATTGTGACAATATTAATTACTAAGTATTTACGTACTCTTTGTAAAAATATATTGTCATGCCGCACGTACGTACGTATTGGATCGATATCGCTGCCAAATGTAAAAGCCTTTTTACATCGATCATTATACTATGGCCGGTTCATTGAACGCTGCATCTCCATCCAAATGTGATCCCAAAACTTTTCCGGCTTCGACGGCGACGGGTTACTGTTGATGTTGGCTGTCTCCGTCTCACGAGCAGTCTCCATACTCGAGCGGCTGGCAGTATCCCACTCAAGAAATCCTTTGACAACGTCAGGTACTTCAGGTTGAGGAGGAATTGGCCCATCGTACACTTCCGAGATCATCTTATCAAATGACACGCCTTCCCCACTTTGCTTGACCATGACACGACACAGTCCCTCTGCAAATTGCTTGCCCGTGCTGGGGTCCTGGAACTGGTGCAAGAAAAAGATCCACGGGCCATCCCAGTAAACCAATTGCGTCTTGATCTCGTACGCGTGAAACGGAGGGATAGCATGACGGTAGCGAATGGCTTGTGAGGCAGCAAGGAACATGCGTCGATGCTTCAACGCTTGCCACAAGACGCCATTTGATCTGAAACAAAATAGATTTTAGCTGAAAATTAGCAACAACAAAAAAAGTGAAATAGCAAGAAGTTACGCAGTGAAATGCCAGCGAGCGAGTTCCATGCTGAAGAGATACGCCGAATTGTTCAAGTGCAAATTCACATCGCAGTCCATGAACCCAGAGCGAGCTCTCCACACTGCCGGGTAGTGCAGTCCAGCAAGACCAGATCGCGGGTTCTTATGCAGAACACCGTGCACGAGGCCTGAGCCGATGTTCCAGAGCATGCGAAGCACCATGATGCACGAGTGCGTCCGACGTGGCAGAAACCGAAGGGGCCGTTTATAATCCTGTGAGCACGTTATGTACAACACACAAATTGAAGTTGCACATGTCGGTTGAAGCTGTACATGTTCACAAGGGCAGCTCAGCGTTGATACGCTCTTTACAAACTGGTTGCTGTGCACAATCTACTGCTCAAAAGCGACCTTATACACATCGTCGTAGTAGTCAGCGAAGTGGACGTCCAGATCCTTTTTCAGGTACTCTTCCAGCTCGTCGAAGTCGCGTTTGTTGCCGAGTGGTAGGATAAGAGTCTTGACGCCTGATCGCTTGGCTGCAATCGTCTTCTCCTTGATACCACCAACAGGAAGCACCTTACCCACAAGCGACAGCTCTCCAGTCATAGCCAGGTCGGGCTTCACCGTCCTGTTAAATCAAAAAAAAAATGTTAGTCAACTACCAGCATTGACGACAATGCAAGTGCTCGTACTTGTCCATGGCGAGAGAAAGCAGTGCCGTCACCATAGTGCAACCAGCCGATGGTCCGTCCTTCGGAGTAGCTCCCTCTGGAACGTGCAAGTGCACCTCATTTTCCTCGAAGAACTTGTTCTCTGGGTCAATTGCGTGCATCTTGCTACGAGCATACGTGTGCGCGATCTTCGTACTCTCCTCCATCACAGATCCCATCTGGCCCGTGGTGATCAGTCCCGAGCGGTCGCCCTTCGTGTGCACCTTGGTCGTCTCAATGTATAGCGATGCACCACCCATAGCTGTCCAGGCAAGTCCCATCACAACGCCAGGGAACTGCTTGTCGAACATGCGGTCACTACGGCATAACATAGTGCTTAGTATCAGCAACACTAACAACTAAAAGCGGTCAGAGCCACTACTTACGACGTATAGACCGGCTTGCCGACATATTTCGACAGCTTCTCCGGTGAGATGAGGAAACGATCCTTGTATTCCTCTGTGTCTTCCGCAGCAGTCGACTCGCCAGCCTCCTGGGACTTAACCGCATTTGCTTTCTCGATATCTTCAACCACCTCAAGAGCAACCTTGCGGAAAACCTTCTCCACGTGCTTCTCCAAGTTACGCACGCCGCTTTCACGGCAGTACTGCTTGACCAGCGTCAGAATAGCTTCATCCGTCAAGCCCAGTGACTCAGGAGTAGTCTCGGACTTTTGAAGACCCGTTTTCTCTAGAGCTTTAGGCACAAGGTATTCCTTAGCGATCGCCAGCTTCTCCGGGGAGTCGTAGCCCGACAGACGCAGGACTTCCATTCGATCCAGCAGCGGTCCGGGGATAGTGTCCGTAACGTTGGCGGTACAGATGAAGAGAACTCGAGACAAATCAACAGGCACATCCATGTAGTGGTCCACGAAGCCGCTGTTCTGCGAGGGGTCCAGCAACTCCAACAAGGCCGACGCCGGATCTCCCTGGTATCCACGTCCCAACTTGTCGATCTCATCGATCAAGATCAGTGGGTTCGAGCTCTGAGTCGACTTCAAACACTGGATGATCTTGCCCGGCATGGCTCCAACATACGTGCGACGATGTCCCTTGATCTCTGCAACGTCACTGAGGCCGCCAACGGAGAAGCGGTAGAACTCGCGGTTCAACGAGCGAGCAATGGACTTGCCGATACTCGTCTTACCGACACCAGGAGGGCCAACGAAGCAGATAATTTTGCCCTGGACATCGCCCTTGAGTTTGGAGACTGCAATAAACTCCAAGATGCGCTCCTTGATGTCCTTGAGTCCGTAGTGGTCTTCATCCAGGATCTGTTTCGCCTTCGCAAGGTCGAAGTTCTCCTCAGTAGCCTTACCCCATGGCAGCTGAGTAAGCCAGTCCAGGTAATTGCGCGTGACGTTAAACTCGGAAGAGTTCTTCTCCAGCATCGACATCTTGTTCAGTTCATCTTCCACGACCTCGTTTACATTCTCAGGGATACTACCCGGTTCAAACTGAGCGAGTCGTTCGCGGTACTTGGTGATCATGGCGTCCTTGTCGTCTTTTTCCATGCCCAGCTCCTTCTTAATAGCCTTCAGTTGCTCCATCAACAAATAGTTACGTTGGTTCTTGGAAACCTTCTCCTCCACCTGTTCCTTGATCGTTTGCTGCACCTTGCTAAGCTCCAGCTCCTTGGTAATCAGCTCTAAAGCCTTCTTCAGTCTTGCCTCACACGACATCTCCTCCATCACTTGCTGCAACTCTTCTCCATCCGCTGAAGTCACAGACGCAGCAAAGTCGGCCAGTTTGTACGGGTTGTGGATATCAATCCGCTGTGAGAAGTACTGCATGTGATCCTTGAAGAGAGGGTTCATCTTGACGATCTCCCTCAGTGTAGCAACAATCTCATTCGAGTATGCTCTGATCAACTTGCTCTTCGGGTCAAAAGACGGGTTGTCCAGGTTGCTAATGTTCACACGAAGAGGAGGTCCTTCATCTCGGATATCATCGATAGCAATGCGTCGTTGCGACACCATGAGTACTTGTACTGAATTAGCGTCAAACGGCAGCATGTTGTCGATTCTGGCAAAGCTGCCCACGTGGTGGATCTCGCTCAAGTTCTTCACCAAGTCCTCCCCTCCACCGGATTTCAGCGGATCACCGCTCGACTTCTTCAGGAACACACCGACGTATTTCTGTCCACTCTCTTTGAGTGCCATCAGTGCACGTGTAACCTCCGGGTTCGTGATAGTCATGGGAAGCACGACGCCAGGGAAGAACGGACGGCGGAGAGCGGGCATGGCCAGCACATGAGGATACGTAGGGGCATTGTCGCCCTCCCCGACAGTGGCAAGGTCGTTCTCGATTAAGATTTCGACGCCTTCGTCTCCATCGTCTGCGTCTTTAGGCTTCTCCTCGTCCTTGTCGTCGTCTTTTCCGCTACTATCAGTCGAGTAGAAGGCACCGAATACGTTGCGGTTACCGAATGCGAAGGGATTGGCATGCACGCGCTGAGCAGCGAGCACCGGCGCACGCTGGAACCGCATCGTATTGACGGCTGCGATGTGCGAGCGAGGACGCGCCATCGCGAAGCGACGTAGCGCCGTCGCCGTCGCCATGATGAGAGGTGGTAGATCCGATGCGGGCACGAGCAAAATGCGGTGGGCAATTGACGGATGACAAGGACCATCATTCTGTGATTGCGTTGCGCACACAAAAGTTCTCGAATGTTGATGTTATTAAAGCGGGGTTTAATTTTATAAGAGCGACGATTACCATTTCAACTTTCATGTGATTACGGAAACGCTAGCTAAGCTCCTCGAGGTGCTGCAGTGCGTGCTTGAGTTGCTTGAGCTGCGTGAAATAGTGGTCTTTCTCGGCGATAAGTTGCTGGTTCTGCGCGCGCAGTACCTTGACTTCGCGGACCAGGATCTTACGCTGCGATCGGATCTGCGCTTCCAGCTCCTTCTTCTCGTCGGTGAGCAGCTCAACCATGTCTTGGATGATCTGTATGCAAAGAACAGAGACGTAAATAAATATCAACGCAGCAGCAGGGATCGAGTAGCCTACCGTTGTCTTGGAAGCATGATCTTCTTGCAGCTGGGCGAGTTCCATACGAAGATCGTTGTTCTGGTGCGCGTACTCCTTCAGTGCGACTTCGTACTCCTGCGTTTTAGCATCCAGGAAGCCAATAATCTCACGGTCCACAGCGGCCTGCTCGTCCTTTTTAGCTGTCGTCGTCATGCTGTTGGCAAGCGTGTCTTCCAAGTCTTTTAGTTTCTCCATCAGAAAGTCACGAACGCTTTCTGCACTATACAGTCTTGCAGCCACATCTTCCTTTTCGGTCTGCACTTGAGCCAGGTGGGCCTACAATAACAACTATGGTGAGGTATGTTTCACAGCCACAAGGTAAGAACAGATGCCGTACCTCTAATGTCTTGACTCTGGTTGACATGTCGTGGAATAGCTTGATCTGGTCAGGTTTTAGTGATTTCACGATCGCGTCCACCTTCGAGAGCTTCAAATGCAAGCACAGTATTAGCATAACCGAGACGCAGAGCAACAACCATGTCGTTACCTTGTCCTTTTCTGATGATCCGATAAAGCTGAGGCTTCGGTTCTTCGACTTCCGTGGTGGAGGGGATGCTGGTCGCTTAACTGGAGCAGGGGAAGCGCTGTTCGCCAAGCTGGAAGGTGTCGTCACTCCAAACATGACATTCACTCGCCTCACCAGTACTTTATCAGTGACACTAATCGCGACCATGCTGTCCTCGTCCAGGAAGGAAAACAACTTGAGCATAACGTTATCCGGTAATGGTGAGAAGACGTTTACCCCGTCCTTCATTGCAGCAGGTAATCTCCCAGGGACGGACATGGCGCGTGCAGGCGCATGATTCCCTCGTGGTGGTATCTTCGAGTCCGATACAAGCTTCGCTGGCACCGAGTTGTTTCTCCTGAGGATGTACTGGATATCGTTAGCTCGCCGCAACTCTCGGATCTCTCGCTGTGCGCTAGCCAACTCTTTCGAGAGTTGTCCTGTGAGTTTCAACTGCTCCTTCGCTTGTTGTAGTTCCTTTTCCATTCTGCAACACAGATCGATATCAACAAACCCCCAGCATTAATTACTTTATATTCAACGTACACTTCCTTCTTGGCGAGCTCCGTTACAACCACAGTCAGGTGTCCATTCAACTTGCTCATGATCGTTCTACCCTCCTGCTCCACCTTCACTGCATAATCGTACGCCTAACAAGCAGAACCCCCAGCATTATTACACCAATGATCTCAGACTTTCAAGGCTTTGGACTAACCTGCTGTCTCTCATGTATCAGTTCACTTTCCCGTTCTTGATACTCTAACAGCGAGCTCTCTGTGGCAGCCAACTGCTGGCGCAATTTCACGAGTTCGCATTCGTGCTCGCAGCTCTCCACGTCATACACCATCTCGTCCAGCACAGTTTGCACCTAATGCCACAATACCTTTATTATCTTTCGTTTCCGGTGACGCCGAGAGACTCATACACGTTACCTCAGTGAGAACATGACAGTTATAGGCGCACTGAGCTTCCTCTTCCGCGATGGTGCGGCGCACCAGGCCGCTCGTGCACGGCAGCATTCGTCGTGCTCGTGCTGTATCTGCTTCAATTCCGTGAAATGCATCGATTCAAACTAACATTTCTCTAACAATTAACTGAAAATAAACCTCCTTCAAAGCATCCGATGTCAAGATCCTTATTATATAACATTTAATGCAGTTCAGAAGTAAGATGACGCCATTAGTGCTAACGGCGATCACGTTCGTGTTACGGCACAAGCCGCCCACAAACCCAGAGTGCGTCAATTCGCTTGCTTCACATTTCTAGTCTCGAACGTGACGCTGTCACGTGCTTGCTATTTGAGCCGTGTTGGAACGCTGGCGCTCCTTGATTTGGTGTGGACCAGAAGCTTTTGAGACAGCAACTGCAACGTGGCGAGACCTTTGCAGACCGATCTTAGCTACAGACAACGAGATTTTGGCCTGTCGATGGTTGAGGTGATATGGTGAACTGATCCAGTGACTTTTAGGCCACTTCCCCGATGTTCCTCTCTCCGAGAAGGCTGTCGCGGAAGCTGCAGGGGGTCGATCACTTATGGATGTTGCAGTTGCTGGACAATACCAAAATGCGCGGAGCTATTCTGTGGACACAGCCAAGTCTGAATGAAGCTGCAATTAGGGGGAAATTGGGGTGTTGTGCACTGGTTACGCGCGCATTTGGTAGTACTCTTGAAGCAAGATAAGACAACACCACATTGGTGGGGTCTGCCTTTACAAAAAACAAATTTGAGCAGCTCAGGTGGGCTCTTCGAAATGGTTATACAGCAAGGGACTTCTCTGTTATAGTGGTATTATAATTCTGGCAGAGATTGGAGTCTTTTAGTTAAAATGCTGCGCTTTGTGCTGGAAGGTGGCGTGAAGGTGGAAGGATTGCTTGCGTCTAAAGTCGGCGATTTGAAGTTCCTGCAATGGTTGGTATCTTATACAGAGACAACTACTTAACGACACGCCCGAAGTCGAAATTTCCGTAAGCGTGGGGTAAGCGGCGGAGCGGGTCATTTTGCTGTTGCGCAGTAGTTGCTTGCGCACTTCCACAATATTTTACGTGATTATAATTTGACGCGTAATTTGGCGCTGGCTATGCTAAGAGCAGCATGGGGAGGTGCGTTAGAAGTGTTGCAATGGTTATACGAAACGTACTTGGGCATTGATCTGTTGGGTTACTGACAGCCAGAATATAAGTACAGCTATTGCCTACTCATTGAAACTGCGATGGATGCTGCAGCAAGAAACGGTCACGTTCACGTGCTACAATATATACATGACATCGATGCAGCATCACGGAAGAGACGTAAGACTCGAGATAACCAAACGATCGTACCGTATTATCAAGACTTAAAGTGCACAGCGGCTGCACATAGACACTGAAATGGTTTCGTGCGATTCGTTCAGAGGGATACACTACCGATGCTACATGTATGGATCGTGATGCTTTTAATGGACACTTGGAAATCGTGAAATGGTTGCGCTTAAACCGTTCCGAGGGTGCACTACCGCAGCAATTGACGACATTACACAGTATTGCCAAGCTCCTAACGACAAGCAGCCATAAATTTGGAGTGGATGAAAGCGTACGGCCGAAGAGATTGCAGAAATGGACTATGATGAATTCAACGGAGTTTCGTAATGAATGATTGATCGAGAACTCCAACACTTAAGGGATATTATTGTAATAATTGATGAGGATGTGGTGGTGCGACGAATAAATGGAGGTGGACTTAAATGAGCAGTCCGAACACAACCAAAGCAAAATAACCCGTCCTAAGAAGTACTTTCCAACTTGCTATGAGTGTGATAAACTAGCTTTCTATTGCATATTTTCCCCTCAGTCAAGATGGCCTGGACACTCTGTAGCAAACCCGTGCGTCACTATTTCACAAGACACTGGTAGGGTACTTTGTTCAGTTGTATGTGAGCTATATTGATAACGTCGAAGCTGGGCGATGGCGGGGTTGCACCAGATAGTCAAGTTTACCTCTGCACAGTAAATTATAAGGTAAGATGTTTATCCGAAACTAATACATTGCAACACAAAGATACTCACTTCAACGATGCCTGCTTCAAAATCAGCTTCTTAAACGTCCTTGCCGTTTTGAGTTGATTAGCATACTGTTCGCGTAAGCTTTGGTTTTCCGCTTCCGCTTCTAGCCGAAGTTTTTTGTGCTTCATCGCGAGGTTTTGCCACGCATCTAGTCGCACTCGCTTAATCAGCCCTGAATTCCCAACTGGGAAGCCTCTTACAGTTGCCACTGCGATGACTGGTGTGTCGCGTTTCCCTTTCAGCTCGTCTACTCGTTGTAGTAGTGCTGCAGCCTCCACTCGCAACTGTAACACCTCTAGCTTCTGAAGGTCACGGGAGCGGTTTCTTCCTGGTACGGATAGCTTAGCCTTGAGACGCAGAATTTCTTGAGTGTCTGGACTAGAGCAGATATTGTCTTTGCAAACCTCCGCCTTGCTCGCTTGAAACACAGGGCCTGCAAAAGCCTCCACTTCGTGTGGATCGGAGAGGTCCACGCTGTTTTCCATGTTGTCACTTCTAGCAGCATCATTTCCGCTGTCGTCGATTAATGACAGCGCCGCCTCTAGCGTCTTGAGCTCTTCGGTGCTGAATTCGTCAAGCATCGTGTTCAAAGTCGGGAAAGAAAAGAATGGCGTCAGGTGACTCACCTTTCTGGTGAATCCCACGCGTGACAACAACAGATTCATCATTCTCTAGAAAAAGTGCAATTCCTCATAATCCTAGCGTTTATCATGTGACAGAAGAGCAAAACGCATGATAGGGAAACAGCCCTGATCCTTTACAGGTGTGCGATATTGACGGTTTAGACACAATGCATTGCATTGAGCCTCTCTCTGTGGTACATTGTTCATTATGTGATTTTTCCCGACCATGGCGTTTTCAGGTGCAATTATTGACGCGTAGTTTGCGTTGATGACATGATTCAATTGAATGCTACGTGGGCATGTGGCCAGGTAAGTGAACCACCTAATACCATAATGAGATTAGATGAGGTGTACAGCGTGATGTAAATTACGTTACTTATACTAAATATTCGTCACCATAAGGAACAAAATGAGTGAATAGTCAGTGTATACGTCACCCCAACTTTCATCACATGTTTGTTCATGCACCATGTAAAAGTCCTACAACCTTCGACATCAACACCGGATCTTTCACGCTGTGGATAGGCCGAACGATGGATCAAGTTTTTTTTTAGCTCGTGGTAGATTGCAAATTAGCACTCACAAAAGCACCTTTACCTGTTGGCTATAAAAAGCCAAAAATGAGAGCTCCAAATAACAATATGACGCTCCTTAAAGTATCAAGTCAGAAGAAATAATACTGACATCTCCCATTAGATCAGAAGAAGATTAATATCTTGTGTCATTTCCGACTAAAAAGGTTGTACCAAGCCCACCACTATTAGAATGACAGTTTTTCAGCTATTAGTAGTAGTCTGTACATTTGGTTAAATAAAATCTTCAGCCAGTCCTTGCTACGCATCTATCTCTTCACTCGCGCTCAATTCACCAAGAAGATTCACGCTTTCGACAACCAGTACAAATATGAATATCCACAACTTTAAAAGGCTAAACATTATCTCGAAACTGTCCACTTATCCTACCTATAACCTCCTCTCTTCTAGTCTACATATTGTGTCGTGATCGACCTATGTTGGTGTTTGGCATAACTAGGTGCGGTTCTGCTGAGCGAAAGATCGTCACAGATCGGAGCTTCTGGAGCTGCACGTCGAGGCAGCATTGCTACAGCAACGAGTTGATGATTTAGAGGAAGAACAGCGCCGAGTGAGACCGGGAGCAACGGCTTCGTGGATGGGAGCTAATGATATCAGCTTGGCTGACACAAAAAAGTCGATGTGGTGAAATAGCTATTAGAAACGTATACAAATGACTCGAGCATTGATCCGTTCGTCTGGTGCGATTAAAACCTGGTAGAAAGTTACACGTTGAAGCTGCGATGGATGCTGCAGCAAGTAACGGTCATCTTCACGTTTACTATATCTTCATGAAGCTGATGCTGTGTCAAGGAAGAGACAAAAATCACGGGAGGTGATCCAACGATCCCTAAACTGTATTAGCAAAAGTTAAGGTCGCAGTTGCTGCTATGGATGCAGCAGCCGCAGATGGACAACCAAATGTTGTGAAATGGCTTCATGCTACTCGTTCAGAGGGATGTACTACCGATGCCATGGATACTTCTAGAGAAAACGCCGTGCAAATCTGGCGGTTTCTATTCAAATCGCCGTGCAAAATGCACGGTGAATTCCCAACATGCAAAAATGGCGGGTATACAAAAGTCTAGTATAAGCGTTGACATGCAAAGATGTACTAGAAATCGCCGTGCAGTTTGCACTAT